TCTCTCTCTCTCTCTCTCTCTCTCTCTCTCTCTCTCTCTCTCTCTCTCTCTCTCTCTCTCTCTCTCTCTCTCTCTCTCTCTCTCGATTTACTTTTCGGCGCGTGGAATTAGATGCAGCTGGTGCTCTCCGCCCGTGAAATATGTCAAATTGTTATGAACCGTGCCAGCGCGTAACCGTGCAACGTCAGTTACTGACAAGAGAGCTTAGCGATCCAATTGAAAATTTATCCGAGCCGCCTAATCCACTCGCGAGCTGGCTACCGATTGTACGTCGAATTTCAGTGGCGGATCGCTCGCAATCTATCGAATTCCACGCGTGCACGTCATTATTAACGTACCGAGTGAGTACGTGAGAGCGCAGCGCGCACGACTGTCAGGCTCCTCTCGAAAAGGAGCAGCCGATCGATCGACGACGACGACGACGACGACGACGATGAGTTTTACGGATATAGCCTGACAGTGAATAGATTACTTTCTACAATACCCTATTATACTACAAGGATCTTATATCATTAATCAGCTCGCGGAAATGGATGTATTTTCTATCTTGACACTCATATGGACTCGTAAAAAATACATTTACATCATGTTATATATCGATATTTTATTAAATAAATATCATTAATTAAGTAAAAATCGGTCTCCTTATTTTAGATTCAAAATTTATAAAAATTCCTCCATTTATTACGGTAATTTCTGATTTACTTACTTGATAAATTATATGTACTAAAATAAATACAATTTTTAATTTTTTTAAAGCTACAGTTGTCACTAAAAGTGTGCATCTACGTTAATATTGCTTTTTTAATTTCTTAATAGAGAAAAATTATTTTCTAACTATGTATTTTATTCTTGGCTCTTTTATAATTTATAATTCTGCTTTTTCTCTTCCGTAATATTTATTCTAGCTATATACGCGCTTTATCATTTTCCTAATAAATTAAATTGCACATTTTCTACGTTGAGATGAGAGTCTATAATAAAACAATAGAAAGCTTTTATACACTAATAAAATATAAAAGATATATTTAAAATAATATTCAGTCAAAGATTATTAAATCTTTATCGAATAATATTAGTACCCGCCAATAATGATTACAAATTTTTAATTAATTTTAATAGACGGTATATTTATCTTAGAAAGAATGAATTGCAATAAAGTAAAGCTTGTTTTATATTTTAATTAACATATAGTACTCTGTTTTATATTTTAATAATTTAAGCTCTTGAAATTGCTCCGGTTTTTTATCTCTGCCATTTTTTTATCTTATATCATGTTCGCCTGATGTTTTAACAATTTGAGAGTTTAAATTTTGGCAGCTTGAAGACCCTTAGAGCTTTTGACAATTTGACATTTCAAATTTTAGCAGATAGAATTCTAAAACTCTGTTTTGAAAATTTGACAAGTGTCATTTTTTTATCTGATTATATATATTTACTTTATTGATTTTTATAAATTTAAGTTTTTGGCGATAATTATACATTGCAAGTGACGGTCGCAATTATATAATAAGACCACGATTATATAATCATGAATGAGACAATCGCTGAAGATAAGAGTATGACCGTGTATACGGATGTCTCATTAACATTTGTGGATTACTTTTCATATTCTAAATCTAGAAAATATTAATAAAGGTATACACGATAGGACCAATTCCATAAAACCGAATTGATGTTAAGCGTGATAATACCAACGGAGATGCTTGAAGTCATTTTCTTGTATTGCGCATAATCGCCGCTGCGGCTGCGATGGCGGTATTGCATTGCACGGTGTGCTAGATTGCGTGTGATCTTGCAATTTAAAGAGGATAAAGTTGAATTATAAGATTCTTTTCAACCGTACGTATAATTTGCGCATCTTAATGTCATTGTCAAATATGTAGGGCATCTTTTAATTAATATTTGATAAAAATTGTCACGCACATAAAGAGAAATATTAATAGAATCACACTTGATTTAACTTAACCTCAAAATCTTAGATAAAAATTCTTCGAGTTAATCTTAAAGTTATTTTTCTATAATTTTGTAGAAAAAGAATTTATTAATATTATTCAACCCATATATAATTTAATATAATTTAATAAGAAACATTTTTACATATTTAAATTTACATATTGAAATTGTGATATGTATGTGAGTATATCTATAAAAAAATATATATGTAAACTATCTAAGAGTTTTACTACTTTTGCGCTATTTCTTATTGTACAAGTAAATAAAGATTTTTACAACAGTCTTTTTTTTTTGTTTAACAGATTTTGACGAGGCTGGACTGATAACAAGAAAAGGAACGTATACCTGTTCTGATTTATTAAGGACGCTGGTGTGTGGAAATGGGACCTGGTGAATGATCTAAGTTGAATATTTTACGTGGTATTCTTCGGCATAAGTAAAATTAATCATTTTTATCTACAGATAATCGACTTGCACAAAATGAGGCTATGCCAAAGGTTGACATACTAAAAGACGCGGGAAAGCTCAAGTCCACAGATATAGTTTATATGAAACGCTTGGAAGAGCAGAACTTGCAAAGGGGGATAAGAGTACAGGGATATCGTAAAGCTAATAATCGTACCGCTATCGGTTTAGGCCTCCTAGTTATTGGAATTTACGCTTATACAATATACTCGGTTAAGCAGGAAAAATTCTTAGACGACTTTGAAATGCCGGAAAAGACGATTGAGAAGGCTGCTTGAAACGTTACCTTGTTTAGAAATGTGAATAAAGAAGTTTACGGCTTATTGTGTGTTAAAAAGTTTATATTTTTTTGCTTATACAGTAGAATAGATAGCTTGTAAAGTGATACTTTTTTTTTCTTCCCTCGTACTCGAGATCGTACTTTGCAAATCGTCTGTTTCACATAAGTGTGTCTGTAATATAAGATTTGAAGATGTCCGCTCCACGATTGCCACCGCTTCCAACAATACGAGATATATTGAAACTGTACCGCTTAAATGCCGTAAAACGTTTGTCTCAAAATTTTCTCCTGAACCAAAATTTAACCGACAAAATTGTAACGAAGGCGGGAAAACTCGCCGGCAGCCACGTACTGGAAGTCGGTCCCGGCCCGGGTGGATTAACCCGATCTATCTTGAGAAAGGTCCCTGAACGATTGGTAGTCGTGGAAAAAGATACGAGGTTTAAACCGACTTTAGATATGATAGCAGATTCATTTGAGGCAATAAATGGGAAGATGGATATAATATACGACGATATCATGAAGACGAACATAGAGAGTCTATTCCCGGTGGAGAAAAAGAGGAGTTGGAACGATAAACCTCCAGATATTTTCATCATAGGCAATTTACCGTTTAGCGTGTCGACAGCTCTCATAGTTAAGTGGCTACACGCGATATCCGAACAGCGCGGACCTTGGGCGTTCGGTAGGACGAAAATGACGTTGACGTTTCAAAAAGAGGTAGCGGAACGTTTGGTGGCTCCACCGATGGGAGACCAACGATGCAGGCTGTCAGTAATGGCACAAACCTGGACATTTCCAGTACTTCGTTTTATTATACCTGGTAATTCAACGGCTCGTACATTTTACTCTATTACATAAATTTGTTTTATGAACAATAAGTAAGTGGAAAATACGACCGTATATCTTATATGTATCGTATATGATATAAAATCAAATCAAGGAAAGCGCCATTGGACGGTCAGGACTGGTTCTTGGATGCCTAGTAATATTATTCAACTATTAATATTATTAGGCATCTAAGATGCAGTCCTGACCGTTTAACGGCGCTTTTCTTGATTTGTTTTATGAATCTTGATTCACTCCAATTCATTACTTACAGGCGAAGCTTTCGTACCAAAACCGGATGTCGATGTGGGAGTGGTGTCGTTTACGCCGTTGGTCAAACCACGCACGCAACACAATTTTGAATTCTTCGAAATGATAACGAGGCACATGTTCAGTTTCAGACAGAAGTACAGCATACGATGCGTCGAGTAAGTTTATTTACTTTCTGATTTTCCTTCATCATAAAAATAAACGAAATTAGTTTTACAAATATGTTTTTTTTATCTTGTCTCACAGGACTTTATTCCCATTGGAACGCCGCAAAGAATTAGGTTTGATGATGTACAAATTGGCTGACTTGGAACCGACCCTCAGGCCGACACAACTTACCGTGGCAGATATCGATAGACTAGCGACCGCTTTCAAATATCTGGTGGAGAAACAACCGGAGCTTGGATTGTATAACTATCGCGCGTCTCGGCATTTATTACCGTTAAAAAATACGAGGGATATTGTAGTACAGAACTATGAAGAGATGTTAGAAGGAAACTATGCAGAGACGCTAGAAGGAAACTGTGCGGAGACGCTAGAAGGAACGAGTACCTAAGCGGGACGAATTATACACGGAAACGTGCATCAAATTTCACTTTTATTAAATCGCAGGTTGTAATGCAGCGGATTAACTCGTTACAATGAATTTCGGTTAGAACTGTGTGAGGAAATCTGTAAATATACATTTATATACATACACAGTATGGCTTAATTCTTAAATAAAAATATAGTACAATGTACAATTTGCATTTTGCTTGTGTTAGACGTAGTAAAAATACTGTTATTTGGAGGGAGAGAGTAATTGGAGGAATGAAAACAAGTAGTATATTCCTAGTTTTACAAATTCTCGATGCACACCGATTATACTGAACGTATACGGCACCCTGTATCCTTGACGCTGCTGATTCACGCAAATTCTTCAATGCTATTAATCTGCGAACCCTATGACCTCGAATCTAATAAAATCTATTCTATTAACATCATTTTCGCAAGAAGCGATACTGGTAAGAAGAATCGCGGATGGAAAATGTGGCGGATAGAGTATTTGTAACATCCGTAAATAATCTGCGAAAATAAAACGATACCCAATACACCGGTCAATATCACAGCTACTCGTCATCTTTTTTTGAAAGGTTTAATCATTAATATTAAATAGTCCTATATATATGCAGACATATATATTATATATGTGTACTTAAAATTATTCATTAGGAATCGATGGAATTATGCGCGGCTCTCGAGGCCACGTAGCATTTTATTTTACAGTGTCGTAGGAAACTCAAGTTTCTGCAACGTACTGTAACAACCGAACACAGATGGTTATACCTTGAATTCGGTAAGAACTAGACTTTCGTGTCGCTCGTCGACGGTCGCGTGTCAACGAGCCGAGGAAATCCTTTGGTCTAGCGTTCTCTCTCTCCGCAATAAATCATTACTAATTCATCTGGAGATCATGTACATACATGTACTCTTTATGCAATCGCTTAGACTTCTTCGCACTGTCGAAGAACTTTAGTGTCGCTTAAGAATGTGTTAAATGGATACGATAATCGCGTTACATACGTGCCTATTACAACTAAGCCGTTAATTTCTCGCTACGCCGCAGATCATGATATTAGGAAGGGCCCCTCGACGTTTACGCCAAGCACCAAGGGACTGCGCGTGAGCCTGTAACGTTCTGCACCATCTTTTTGTTCTCGCGCCGTCCTCGGCCTGTAATAAATTAGTTTATCATGCATTCTTACCAATGCCAATAATTTTCTTCGCAATTAAAATCCATTGTCTCGATCTGCACTTGAAAAGAAATTAAGTTAATATTTTACCTTAAATATAAACGTTTCTTTAGAAGACAATTCCTGTACTTCGAAATAATCTTCGAGATCCGTTTCACAACATACTATGCATTTATCGAGGTACAGTGGCTCCTTAAATAGAAAAAAAAAAACAGATTTGCATGATTAATCTCATTACGGGGCAATAAGAAAATTACAAACATGAAATATGCGATGACTCACTCGTAGTAAAGAATATCGTCCAAGCTTCTCTTTGACCAGAAGTAGGGTAGCTTCCTTGATACCTATGTGCTTTGGAAAGAGCGAGTCGTCGTTAAATTCGGGATACTCGGCATTCGGCTGAAAATAAGAATGGCATTTATATTTACGCACAAAATTGTTTTGCAAGAGATTTTTAAAGACACACACACACACACACATATATATATATTTACCTTGCCATTTGTGACGAGCATGGCAGTAACAGGTGCGAGTTTAACAGTTCGACCGCGTCTCCAATTATTATCAGTCGGCTGCGCCACTAGAAGACGTCCTTCAAGGACAAACCTAGCTTCCTCGTGTGCCCATTCCAAGATCTCGACGGCCATCTAACATAAATTTTGTAAATGTTAACGGTATGATTAGAAAATTAATTTATACTTCAGAGTTAAACAAGTAAAAGATAAAAGCAACTTAAATATACATACCTTTCTCAGCTTAATATTGACCATATCCTGCTCGCCGATGGACCGTCTGCCATTCTGAATAATCGATATTCTCCTCCACAATTTTGTCGATGTAACATCCTTTGCCTCCTATTGATTAAATAAAGTACGCATTTATTTTTAGCTATGTTTTATACTTATACAGCGCAATATACTTACAGCATTCATGTGTTCCAAATGTAGCTCGATGTTCGTTTGAGCTTGCTTAAGCCTCTTCTTCGCTTCTTGGATGTCAGATCGAACAGAGGGTGTTGCTTTAAGCAAACGTGCCAGAAGCAGAGGATACTTCGTAACTCTTTGGACAGGAACCTGAAAAATAATGATGCATGAAATTACGAATGATTTATATCCTTATCATTCCTGAGTAAAAAAATTAAGTCAAAGAATTGCGTGACGTCATACCATTAAAAAGGAGTTCAGATTCATCCTTCGCAAAACCGTATTTTCCATTTGGGAAACCCTGAGGAAGATGCGAAGAAGCTCCTTCTCCTTCTCTAAATTTTGCAGTAACAAACTAGCGCCGCCTTGACGCGTGCAGTAGCTCTCGAAAGCGTGGAGCATCCTTTCCGACTCGAGGAAGATCTTACCCACGTCCACCGTCAAGAGATCCTCGTCCCCGGATTCCTACGCGATCGAGAAAATCAGGCGTCGCAACGTGAACTTTTGAATATAAGGAATTTATATATTGTTAAAAAAAAATTTTTTGTTAACGTCAGATGAAAGTGACGGCGAATCGAATACGGAGCTCGTGATTAAACGTGATTAAAAGAATCGACATATACGTATTTTTTGCATGAGTTCTTTACCTGAGCGAGTTCCACGCTATCCTTCAATTTCTCGGCTAAAACGAGATTGTGCTCGAGCAGCTCCTCGACGTTCAGGAAGATCGCCGACAGTTGTTCCGACGTGAGAAGGCCCGCTCTTAACATCGGCCGGTGGAACTCCTCGAGTATGATCTGCAGATCTCTGCCGTACTTCTGCTCGGTTTCCACGATTTCCGTGATAATCTCTTTCCGTTCCGCGCGCTTCTTCGAGCACTTCCTGCACACGAAAGGCGCATAAACCACACCGCTGAAAAAAAAAACAAGAAAAATAAAAATATTTGCGCGCGCGACGCCGCGACAACACGAACGTTATAAGGAAGTTTATACTGTGTTATTAAAAGAGATTTTTTTTGTTAACGTCAGATGAAAGCGAAGGCGAATCGAATACGGGAGCTCGCGGCTGCTACGAATTTGTACGTATAATCTACGATCGCGGATGAAAGTGGCTGTCGCAACTTGCGACCAGACGCATATTGCATTATCCATTCATCAAGCGTCAACTGCGCTCCTCGATAACGACACTTTCGCTCTCGAACAAATAAAATCGATGGCGGGAGAAAGTGGCCCACTGTCTCCTCCGCGTAATCTAGTCGAGCGAATTATAAACGCGTTCAATAGTCTTGC